GTATATGTAACATATATTATAGGATTTTCATATATGATATGTTTCAAGAATAGAACCTCTGTTCTTTATTATCGCACTGTATTAAAAATTCCTTTCTCGCTTTTTCCAAACTTCAAACATATTTTGATTTTATTTTAAATCACAAGTGTACATTGGATTAGCTACAAAAACAGATCTAAAAGGCTGTTCTTCTAGCCGTTTCTCTTTCCTTTTTTTTTTTTCGTTTTTTTTTCACGTCGGTGCATAAAGTTCTGTCCAAAAAACTGGATACATATTATGGATGTTCAGAACGGGTTCCGATTGAAATTATTTAATTCTTTTTTCAGTTTTCTATTATCTTTTTTAGGAAAAACGAAATAATTCCGATCGAAATTTATTCCAAACAATTATATAATAATATGTATCCAGGTCTCTATATTATGCAAATTAGCGCTAGTTTCGACTGTGGAGTTTCCCGCCTTTCTTCAACTTTTGTACGCATGCGCAGAAAATTCAATCTCAGCAGTCAGCTTAATTCAAACAGAAGAGAGAGTTGCGCGGGCCCCGTCAAATTCCTTCCAAAACTTAAATTAAATTTTTATCCTCTATTCCTGTAATGGCTTTGTTCATAATATTTTATCTATCGTAACAATTTAAACAATTAAAAAGCTGCCGAGGGCAAATTCAGTGGAAAATTACGGCGAATTTCAGCAGAAAGGTTACAGATTTGACATAGAATGCAACTTACACAATGCTGCGTAATAAAGTATTGTTGAGAAAAAATTTGTCAACAAAATGTAAAGGAATTGACGATAAAGATCAAGCAAGCTTTTACATACACAATTTGACGCAGATTGGCAGCAGAAATCGAGCATAATCCGCGTTTAACCGTCTTTGCTTACGTCAGCTAGCTCTGCCGTCAGCAAAATGCGAACTCTTCAATACAAATGCAGCGGCCAATTTATTAAAAATTTTCGATCGAATCTGCTGCCGATTTGCCGAAGTATTACGAACAGTTTGCTTACTACTGGTAATATTTACTTTCTCGTTTCTCGCTCATTCTGAAAGACCGCACCTGCCCGATCGCCGTAGTCCGCCCGCGAAACTTTGGCACTACGTGCCCCGCGCATATATCTACGTTACTACTACGTTTCGTCGCGTCTGCGCAGTGAGAAGCAGCGAGAGGCGGCCATGTGTTTGGGAAGTCTGCGCCGTCGCTAAAAATGCCGCTTTTGAGGATCGATGTAAACAAAGTGACTAATAGGATTAATTGTACTCTAAACTGATAACTGATTTTTATCAACTAAATCTCGTATCGTGTGCCATGAGAAGTCACAGCTCGCCGAGGGGAGAGAGCGAGGGAACGTTCATAAGTTGTATCGAATTATTGTGTGATCTCGTTAAGGTTAACGCTAGATGAGCTTCCAGTGCCGCATATAAGAAAAAAACAAACAATAGGACAAACAGGACACTTTCTTGCATTCTTGAGTTCTCCGCGAAGATGAATTTCGCGATAGAAAGATTGCATGAGAAGGATAATAAGCGTATTATCTTCGAACACGATCGATCAGTAAGTAATTCCAGTGAATTGCCTTTAAAAACCTGATAAAACTTTAATTGTAGCATAATTGGCAATTAATCTGCTGATATGTATACAATGGGTTTTTTTTAACATGAATAGAATTATCTAATTTTCGTCGATCGACGAAGAAGTCCAAGAATAGGACGACAGATTACGTAGCTGGAAATCTTGTGCTGCAGTACGGATTGAATTAGTCATCGAGTAACCCTTTGATCTCGTTACTTTACGCAAGTTTCATTATATTCAAGGATTGAATAGAATTTATATAAATATATATATATATATATATATATATATATATGCATACATACACACACATACATACATATATAAAATTTATAAAAGTATAAGTTAGCATAAAATCTTGCCAAGTGATCTTTTTGTTTAATCTAGATGATATACATATTGATTACTATTTAATAAAATTATATTTATTAATCTATTAAAATATTTCAGAATTTATTTTAGGTTTGTTTTCTATATTGTTATCTATATTGGGCTACATAAAAATTGCTATTTTGTTTTTGTCAAACTTTATTTTGCTTTTGTCAAACTTTAAATATATATCCATTTTATTTTAAGTGTACACTGGTTCAGCTATATAAAATAGATCATTTGAGATAGTATGTAAAAGGTCTGTCTTTTATAGCTGGTTTACACTTACTTAATAGATGTATAAAGATGAAATAGATGTATAAAGTATTTGAAATAGATGTTGTATAAAGTTTGATAAAAAAGTGAGAAAGAAAGTTTTAATATAATTCAGTATAGAGATAAAGAATAGATGAAAAGGTGGAACTAAAAGAATTCAATTCATTGAATTAGATGTAAAAGAAAAATTTTTATGAAATTTGTTGAAATAAATTAATGTTATTATTTTTTATAAATATAAATATATGTTACATTTAAATTTTGTTTTCTGTTTCAGTATACTTGTGGTAGAGGAAAAGAAAATGATATTTTGTGTCTCAGTCTTCTAGTATCTCGTAGGCATTGTATCTTTTTCTGTGATGCAAATGCAAATTTATATGTCACAGACTTACGGGTATGCATAACAAATGATTGTATCAATATTTGTAAATTAAATTATCTTTTTGATTTTTATTTAGAGTTCAAATGGTATTTTTGTCAATGGTGAGGCAAAAAGTTCCTATCAGATGATTAAACTATATGAGAATGATATCATTGGAATTGGCTGCCCAAATATTGATCCAAATAATGAGACACTGTACAATTACAAAATTTGCCTCATTAAGGTAGAACATTTTCAGAATATTTAATGCTTTTAGCAGACAGAAATTTAATACTTGTATCATTAAAACTGTCATGAAATTTTCTAGTCACCCATTGAAGATGAAGAACCTATTTTATCAAAAACAATTTTAAATAATAATACATTGCAAAGAACGTCTGTCTCTCCTGAAAATCGTGTTTTGGGAAACAAATGTGCATCTACCTCGGATCATGACTCGATATTACCAAATAAAAAGGCAAAAGTTTCATGTAGTAATGAGCATGGCTCTAATATTAATCTTTCAAAGAGTAAGTCTCGTTTTTTCGAATAATACATGAATGAGAAAAGGAATATTATATTTCTATAATAAACCAGATGTTTTAATAAATCTTTCTTAATAAATTAAATTTTTGTTATAGGAAATTCTGATTTATCTTGTAATAATCAGAGTTCATGCAAAAGCGTTAACACTAGTAATAATGTTGATAATTTAGTAAAAGTTAAATGTGATACCTCAGATATGAGTGAAGATGATATTGAAATAATTCACACATCGCTAGCGAAAGAAGTAAAGAAAGAAAATACTTGTAATCTTCAATCTGCAGAATGTTCAAACAAGAATAAGAGATCAGATTTTGAGGAGAAAACATTTGACGTTTGCTCTACTAATGATAGTAATGATGATAATACTAGTGACAGAGATCAAAGTAAAAATAATATAAGAAAAAAATCGGATAGCATTGATAAACAAAACGATGCATTAAATTTTACAGAGAGCTCAAATTTTGTACATACGAAAGATGGTCAAATTATTAAATATGAAGATGAATTGCAAATAACAGATGACGACGAAGAAGCACACATGGCTGCTGTTGAATGTGAAAAAACTCATGATGAAACACCGATTAAATTAAAGAGGATAAAACATGAACCGAAAACGCGATTCTCGGTCATTGATGTTGTCGATTTGAGTGACGATGAGGAAGGAGTATTCCCATATTCTCAGTTATTCGATATTAAATATGACGATAATACGGAAATTAAGACTGAGATTGAACAAGAGTGTGTCAACGATGATGATCAAAATATAGAGAAAATGGGCCTGTTGAATATGGATGATGAAGTCATCATTTTAACGGATAGTGAAGATGAGAGTAATCCATGGTTGGAACGATTATCTAGAAGTCAGTTACTTAACGAGAACATACAATCCACTTTGTGCGATACAATTGTAAAGAATGAGATCGATTTGGAAATCTGGAATGAAGTATCGAATATAGCACAGCCTGGGGTATCGCATATTTCTCAAGTTTCTGACGATAAAACAACATTTTCTGAATCGTGTATATTAATCGATACTACAAGTATCGATGATGAAATTAAAAACGAAAAAGATGATCGTGGTAATGATTTATCGATGACAAAAACGGTCTCGATGGATATAGATGAGATAGATCTTTCTAAAGAATATACTTTGAAAGATATTGACAAAAGCAAATGGAAAGCAGGTTCAAGGCAAGATATAACTCAAGCGGTCTCGGTGAATGAGCGATTAATAGACGAGGTCGCGCCTTTTAAAAAGTCTACTTCGAGAGATATTGATAACAAAAGCAAACAAAAAACAGGGACAAGGCAGGATATAGCTCAAACGGTCCCGATGGATGTAGACAAAGTCGTTCCTTCTAAAAAGTTTACTTCGAAAGATATTGACAAAAGCAAACAGAAAACAGATGCAAAACAAGGTATAGCTCAAGCAATCCCAATGGATGTAGACAAAGTCGTTTCTTCTAAAAAATCTACTTCGAGAGATATTGATGACAAAGGCAAACGGAAAATAGATATAAGGCAGGATATAGTTCAAGCGGTTCCGATGGATGTAGACGAGGTCAGTTCTTCTAAAAAATCTGCTTCAAAAGATATTGACAAAAGCAAACTGAGAACAGATGCAAAACGAGGTATAGTTCAAGCGGTCCCGATGGATGTGGACAAAGTCAGTTCTTCTAAAAAATCTACTTCGAAAGATATTGACAAAAGCAAACGGAGAACAGATGCAAAACAAATTATAGCTCAAGCGGTCCCAATGGATGTAGACAAAATCGTTCCTTCTAAAAAGTCTACTTCGAGGGATATCGATGACAAAAGCAAACGGAAAATAGATGCGAGGCAGGGTATAATTCAAGCGGTCTCAATGGATTTAGACGAGGTCGAACATCCTAAAGAATTTATTTCGGAAGATATTGATGACAAAAGCAAACGGAAAACAGAAGCAAGACAGTATATAATTCAAACCGCGTCGATGAATGTAGACGAAATCATTCCTTCTAAAAAGTCCATTTCGAGAGATATTGATGATAAAAACAAACGGAAAACAGAAGCAAGACAGGATATAGCTCAAAAATTAAATGAGCAAACACCATCTTTAGAAAGTGTGAAAGAAAAAATTACAAAGAAATCAACAGCCAAGAGATTGATTCCAGTAATAGAAGCACCGAATTTACCTGTAAGAAGAAGAAGCCGAATTGATCATTACAAAGACAAAGCAACAGAAGTACGTGATACTTCACGATCGAGATTAACGGAACAAGAAAACAAGATGTCGAATTTAAAAGATAAACTTAATGATGCCTTTTACGGTAAGGAACAGAAGCGTCACAAAAAGAGATCTAAATCGTATGACCGTCACTCATTGAGTGAAACAAAGTTTGGATCATCAATTTCTAAGGATGAGAAAAAGATTATAATCGAAAAGAGGAAGGAGAAATTGAAGGAGATTGCTGCAGAAAAGAAGATGCTGTCCGCCGCGGACAGTTCGAATGTTAAACAGGATCGCAGGATTGCTAAACCAAGAGCTAAAATGTCTTTAAAAAATCGTGGCGATTTTCTTGTTCCTGAGGAAGAACCAGAAACATCTAAATCGCTTCCAGATAAATCTGCAGAAGTGCCAAAATCAAATTCAAATCAGTCCAATAAGCAATCAACGGATAATGCTGATGTGACAAAATCCACAACTTCCAAAAGGAATACACATAAATCGCATGAGAAAACGCACATTTCTAAAGATACGGTGAGCAATATTGTCACATCACTACAACAATCTTTACATTTGAATAATACGGATACTATACAAGCACCTACAAAGAATACACTGGATTTGAAAGCAAGCGATGACAATAAAAAGAAATATAGTAGTAGTAGTAGTAGTAGTAAGAGTAGTATGCAAAAAAGAATCGAAAATAGTGATCCCATTGCAAAATCATCATCGTCAGACTTGCACTCCATCGAACGGACACCTTCCCATTGCGAAACATCGCACGAGAATTTTCTTATTGTACAAAAAGAAAATCGTTCGCCGGGCAGTTTGAAATCGATACTCGAGAAACGAGAAAAATCGAGGGCGGAATCAAAAAAGAAAAAGAAAGTGTCCTTTTCAGATAAGATAGACGTACGGGAGTACGAAATCGATCAGAATAATAATTTCAAGAAATTAACGTGGAAAGATGCGCCCATACCCACAAACAAATTAGCAAAGGCACCCGCGGTGGCTCCGCACGGAGCGGAGTCGACTCCGAAATTGGAAGAATTTCTACTGCGCATTTTTAAGTGGAAGCCCGTATGGCTCGAGGAGCAGCGCTATTTGAAGAACGTTGATCCACCGATAGTAGACGAGAACGAGCTTCAGCCCATGAAACTGTCCTACGATTCCTATAAACAGTATTACGAGGTCGCCATGCCTCTTCTACTACTTGAAATATGGTACACCATGACCAAGGATTTAGATACAGTCCAAAAGAAGTCCCGGCGTTGCACTATGATGTGTTCTGTGGTGCAGAATTCTATTACACGTACTCCGATACCGTCGACTGAACTATTCCTGACGACCCTGATGCTCGAGGTGCTAATCACGGAAGAGCAGTACAAGCAGGAGATACATCCCATTTTCGGGGATCTGGTGTATCTCGAATATGTAATACAAGAAAACGGTAAATTTAAATGTCACAGGATCTTTGCGTACGTCACGAATTCACACACCATGATCATTACGAATTTTACTCATTACAATAGGGATTTAAGGAACTACGTCAAAAATCCATACGCTGTGATAACTTATACTTTGTTAACGCGTCCTCTTGAGCATGACATTCTTGTAAATAGAATACATAGAGTTCGCGCGGTCACGTATCTACGTGCAAGTATTAGAATGGTTCAGGCATTGCAGTATCTTCCACAGTCGCCTTTGTTGGAACTAATTGTAAGTCCGAAGATTCAGAGCTATCAATTGCAATCGTCGAATGAACAGTACACGTCTTCCTCGCTGGTCACGAAAGAGAATTTAAATCTGAAACAATTAGAGGCCGTGTTTAAGGTGACCAACACTGTATTAAACAAAGAGGCTAAATTGTGCTTTATTCAAGGCCCGCCGGGAACGGGCAAGTCCAAAGTTATTGTAAATTTGGTAACTCAAATACTATATGGCGAGCAAAGGGACAACAACAAATCTTTGAAAATTTTGGTTTGCGCACCGTCCAACGCTGCCATCGATGAAATTGTATTGAGACTTCTGAATGTCAGGTCCATCCTGAAACAAAAAAATCGCTTTAACATGGTACGCATTGGCCGATCGGAGTCCATGCATCCAACGGCGAAGAACATTTCCGTGTCGGAGCTGGCGAAACGTCATTTGGAGAGATTTGTCAGAAGGGAAAAAGAAGCTTTTTAAATGGCGGCACGTTTATCGCCGAAGATCCGGCGGTTTTACGCTCGCATATCAATTCGTATCAAAACGAACTCAAGAATATCCAGGAAGAGAACGAGGAGAAGAAGAAGGAGCTTACGAATAAATTATTCGACACGTCAATAGAGTACGAGTTGTTCAAATACGGTAAACCGATAAGTCAGCTGAATTCGAAGGAGCGCAGCAAATCTCAGCGTCTCTCGGAAAACAGAATTCTTATGGGTGCTGATATAATTGCCTGTACCCTGTCATCTTGTTACACTCAGCAAATGGAGTCGATATTTGGCGGTCACAAGGACGGAATATCGGTGTGCATCGTTGACGAAGCGACGCAGAGCTGCGAGGCAGAAACTCTGATACCATTGATGCTGGGGGTAAATACGTTGGTCCTGGTGGGAGACCCAAATCAACTGCCCGCGACCATCCTGAGTCAGCGGGCGAAAAAGTTGGGATTGGATCAATCGATATTCTCGAGAATGCAAAACATCTTCGGATCTAAATCGAATAGTCCAATCATAATGTTGGATACGCAATACCGAATGGAATACGCTATCTCGTACTGGCCTAATAATTATTTTTATCAGGGAAAATTAAAAAATGCCACCGACTATCATGCAACATTTCCATTTCATTCCTATAGAGTGTTACATCATACCTTTAAGCAAAACGACGACAAATTTACCAACACCACCGAAGCAGAATTTGTAGCTAATATGATTTTTGCCATGTTTATGTTTGTTAAGTGGGAAGAAACAGATAGCGCTATTTCTCTCGGAGTTCTGACGCCGTATAACAATCAAAAGACTCTTGTACAGAAGAAAATAAACGACAAGTAAGTTTTTGTATGTGAAAGCAAAAATTGTTTCTCCATTTGTGTAAGGTCTAAGTTATAAAAAAAAAAAAAAACAAAA